CAATTGGATCCTGTGGGTAATGCTGCTGTAGGTATTTCAATAAATTTGATTTACTGAATAAATGCCAATATTACACAAATTTGAGTGGTGTTTTATATTGCCAAGTTAGGAAGGATATATTGAGGAATATAAGTTACGTAGCTGTGGGGTATGTCTATATATACAAAAAGTATTTAAATATATATATATATATTTTGCATATATTTATTATATTTGCATCCAACCTGACAGGGGAGAGCCAAGCACTCTCGAATTAATTAGGTGTTTCCATCACTGCAGAGTCAATCAGAAATATAAACTGAGACAAATAACATTTTGTGTCTGATGTTTGTTATTCGAACTCGCGATCTTTGATCGCAAGTCAGTTTGTTAACCTATAGGTTAACACACTGACAGTAAAAAATAAGCGTTAATATTATTTTTCAAAAAATATAACTATATATATATGTACTGAAAAATAATATTGAATTGAATACTCAAATATCACATTAAATGCCAGTTGACGAAAACGTCGGAGAACAAAATAGGTTTTTGTGTTATATTATTATTTTATTTTATAACTTACGATATGTGATAGAGCAGAAAACTCCCTATATAAGTGTGCGACAATGTGGAACGGGACTTGTGGCGTTTAAAATGGGTCACACAACACAATAGGGAGTTACCTGCATCACCTGCCAGCAAACAGGTAGCTTTGTAGTGGCACATTCACAGACGTGCCTACTATACCAGCCAGTAGTTTCAATTATGATATCTAGCCCTTGATTTTCTAATGCCATAGCTGTTATTTCATATTAAAAATAAATATATAATATAATTAAAAAGAACTTTATGTGCTATCTTTGTTTTTTAAATAAGTGTTTTTTGTTTGATTAAATTTAAAACAGTTTATCTACCACGAATAAATAACTATAATTTTTTTATAGTCATGCAGTGAGAAGTTTGTGCACTCGAATTGGAATCTGTAAGACAATATAAGCAATCACCTGTAGAACTAAGTTGACAGGGTGCAAATTTCAGCAAATTATATATAAAAATAGACCTGACTTAAACACGTGTGGAGGTCTCAACTGGTATAATATAAAAAAAAATACTTAGGTACACAAATGCAATCCGTGTGCAAAGACATTTATCGTACGAGTCGTACCGTAACCGTAACTGTATTATGGTACTAGTCAAAATACTCATTGACCTAATATCTTAATATGTACTTTGCTAATGTAAGTTTCTTTTCAAGACCAACTGTAAAATGTAACAGTATGTTTATTCATACTCTTATATTAATTAGTATATTACTCGATATAATTTCGACCGATTTTCATTAAAACCTATGTGTAATCGACAGTATCTTTGGTTCCATAGTAACTTTGTTGTAGTTGGAATCGGTCTCTTTAAACAGTTGTTACATAAAATCTTAATCATTACAAATAATAATGATAGTGGTATAATATATTATATTAAACCTAGAGAGCGATAACACCAGACCACAAACAGATACAATGGATGATCTCACTGTGTTTGTGTGACGTACTGTTTATTGCAGATTTAACTTTAAATGACTACTTAAATTTGAATGATCAAGTAATGTGTTATTATCTGCATTAAATGATGTTGCTACGAATTTATAATATTATCAATGCAATTACCAATAAATTAATTACAGGAACATCCAAATTTAAGTTAATTTATTAGTAATTAAATACAGTTTTGAGATTGGCAAAAAGTAGTAGTATTATACATACCTATAGCTAACTTTTAACCAATTTTTAACCATGGTCCTTTCACTCACGTCACGTCTCATTGCTATGCGAATTGTGGAACAAATCTTTAATTATAAAAAAAAACCAGTTGGATTGTGAACCTCTTTCTTTTGCGGTTGAAAACTTGAGAGATCACAGATTGTTCACGGGTAGAAGAGAACGTATAATGTATAATGTATATTTTAGTTTATATAACATAGATAATTCTGTTAACTACCTTTTTTCTTAACTTCAACATTTCCGACATACTTTTCTAATTTTATTACCTCACTGTTTTTATCGGAATATTATTATATATTTAGTTAGATATAGTCAACAAGAATTGACAAGCTGTACTATGGTACATATTATAAATTATGAATTATTTTGAATTAGATATGAATCCTTAAAATTTGGCCTTATAATACGTAATACACTTTCTTTTAATTTATGTACTTTACTTTTATTTTGGTATATTAAAAAACATGATTCCTGTAACTTGTCTTGTTATTACGATGAAAGTTAAAAACGACTTCATTTTTACCAAACAGTAAATCTTATTTCATTTACGAAAGAGGTGGCGGCCAAAGCCATTCACCACAGCACTTGCGGTGAAGTTGGAATTGAAATTGCTTGCCTAATGTTTGTTGTGTAAAATATCTTTGCGGCAACCCTGCTCGGAGCTTACCATGATTGCATTCAACTGGCGAATACCAGGCTCTAGGGTTACCAAGGGTATTAAATATTTATTGTTTCCTTTTTATTTATGAGGTAAGTAAAAATATTTTCGGGTTCTTTTTTTTATCTGCCATATCTTGAGGTCTTAGTATACCCGTCCTAGATCTTTTTATGTAATTGGAATAGTAAAAACAGACTGACGGCCCACATAATGGTAAGCGGGTAACCGTCACCTATATGTGTACATAAACAGCATTATGGACTTCAAGATATCATCATGTACCACCCGTGATGCGTTCCTATTACAGAGACAGGAATAAGATGCCTCAATCTAATAAAATTAAAATGTGCTCCTTTACATCTTCCATTCAAAAGACATGTTGCCAAAGTTACACAGAGAGTATTTTATATTTCAGTGGTCATGGTCACAAAAATGTATACGTCTACGTCTTATGGCCGCCAAAGCAGTCAAAACAGCGCATGGTAGTTTATTCAGTCATATGCACCTTACCATAAGGCAATTCACAAGCTGACAACCATTCTTGTTATGACGATCATGAGTACTAATTTTCCCAAAATGTCCCAACTTGCGGCAAAAAAAAATAAATTTGTTCCGTACTTCGTGTTTGCATACTCAATGTTAGGCAAGTTTCAATTTTAGGTGCCCGTTATTATGCTAAATTTGCGCCCAGAGTGTACTCATGTCTGCGAATCTCGACAATTATTATATATCTAAAGTTTGTGGCGTTGGCAAACATATTAATATTAACTGACTGTATTTTGTATACAGAGAATTAAAATGAATTATTTCGTAGTACGTGCTCTCACTAAGCATGCATATTTGCCCTCCACATCATTATTAGTTATTTTTACGTATTACAAAGCGTCGTGTTCTGTTTCTGACTAACCGTCTGTTGATGAAAACACCTGTAAGAAACCAAATTAATACAAGTCTTCGTATGGGTTTTCCAATCTGGATAAATTGTCACAGATTTACGTGAGTCGAGAATATTTAAATCCTATCTCTGTTTACATTGCGGATCTATTATCGGAATATTTGGATTTTCAAAAGTGTTTTCCATGACTCGGAAGTCCGTCAAAAAAATAAATTTACACATTAAGTTTTTAGTGTCAATCAGATATGATTTCACGATTTGAGATTTTTAATTGCTAAACCACTAGGTAACGTTTATAATAAAATAATGAATTCCAATTATTGTTTACTTGAACTTAATAAAGAGACTTTTCTTAACAGCGTATAAATTATTACTGCTTAATCATAAGTTAATTATAAATCTCGACAGAGAGTATTTATTATTCAGGTACCTACTTCGTATTATTTTCTATGCGAATACAACTGAAGTGGCGAGTTTAATGAAAATTTGTTTTAATTCCTGCTTTATAAATAATGCAATCGTTTCTATTGGTTTATCACTGGCCTGCCTTTTGAATATACGGGTTACTCCGAGGGATAAAACAGTAATTTTGCCGGGGTAATCTGGCTACTAGTACATAATGAATTATAAACGATAACAAAAAGATCAAAATAAAATACTAATGTAATAATAAATAGAAATAGTAAAGGCCAATCTAAATTTGAAAAGTTAAAATCCACTCGTAATATAAGAAATGATCGAATATAAAAAACATCCTTCTTAAATGATACCTAAACACCATTTATTCTTCTTAAGTCGTACATCTTTGATAGAGTGGTTGTGGTTTTTATTGTGGTAAATTAACGATCTAGATCTTTGCAATTTGTCTCCATCTGGTACGGTTTTTGACTTTGCGAGAACGTGCCATAATAAACTGATGTATGATTGATTTACTAAGATCACTCAGTGCTGGTGGTGATCTTGAAAATGTTTGCTCTCTGATGATCCTTAGACAATTAGACCAGCTTAGAGTTTGTTTCAGGTGATGGAACATGATCAAAATGATAACGTGATATTCGTATTTGAACAGTTTACGATATTATCTCCCTTGTGAATGAATGTTCCTTATGATTTTCACAATCCATTCACAATAAGCTAACTTATCATATAACATAAGAAAAAAGAATCTAATCAAAAGTCTCTTTTTGAAGACGCTTGAAAACTTGCATTGTTTTGTTGTTTGCAATTACGTCGGCATTGAAAGAATAAAAAATATTTTAAATTGTAAAAAGCCGTTACGTAAACGTGCACAGTCACGTGTGCGTGACGTCACGCGCTGGTGAATCCGTCTCCGTCTGTCTTGACGCAACTCGACAACGGACGCGCTTCCTTTTTCTGATGAATGAATTAGCCACTTACATTATTTCTATGTATAATATATATTTTGCTCCCACGTAGTCACTGCGACACGTAATTATTAGCTGTATTGAATAAATACGCGGTTTTGTATTAGGTACAGGGTATTAATCTATAATTAACGAAAGCGTCTATCTGTTACCGATTCACGACTAAACGGCTGAACGAATCTTAATGAAATTTGGGAATAAGATAGACTGTATCACTTATTATACTTTACATAAAAAAAAATTTATTATTAATGCAATAAAGTAATTTTAAATAAATAACATTTTACTTGTATTTATTTCAGACCCCGGAGACGGTCAGGGTCCAGTATAGTGGTGCTCGGTGCTGAGGACGAGAAACGACCGCCGCCGGATGACGACGGAGAAATGCTCACTATGCTTTCACTGTCTTCTGACACTGGTCAGTATTATTTATACCACTTTACCGAGGTACACTTTACATAAAGTTCAGTATAAAGTTTATTTCACCCATTTCTGCCGCGAAGCAGCTTGCTTTGTAACATGTGTTTCGATTGAAAGAGGGTGAATTGCTAGTGAAATTACTAGGTACAGCACCTTGGTACTCCAGAATAATAAAACGTGAATGGTATCACAATCGTCATATGATGACGTGATATCCGTAGCACTGTTCTATAGTCGACGATTCCTTCTTACCATTTGGTGTTCCGTCATTCTACATCCAATATTTGCCTTTGCAACTAAAAATAACTTTTTGGGTCAAGTTATATGAAGAAAGTGATGCTTTTCAATTTTTTATTTTATTATTATTATTTTTTTCGGAAAGACATGGGTACATATAATAATAATACATGGGGTATTATTATTATATGTACCCATGTCTTAATATTATTATTATATTGTCAAATTAAAAAAAAAACAAAACTAACAAATTATATTTTTTGTGGACATCATGTTCCTACATAAAGTAATTAAACAATTTATTGACTTTATTAAGATTATACACGAAGTGAGGACTTCTTTATCACTTTTATCTTTGCTTATCGGCTTGATTAACCCGTGTTGCAAAAAGTGCAGATAAATAATCTCCTTATATTTATACAATTATTACTGACAGCACTGTGGTAATGGTAGAGTAAGATAATGTAAAGAACTTCTACTAAATGTGTATAAATAGTTGAATTACTTTTAATACATAAACAAAATGACATTCGTAATTTCGCGACCTGAAAAGTTCATTCGATCGATCAAAACAGTCAGTCATCCAGAATAATATTCGAGTTGAGCCGGCTGATGCTTATAACTTTTATAATATGTATTAGATACGTGCCCTGGTCAACCGAGATGGAAGATTGATGAATCGGCAATGATTTATCGTGATTCATTCGTGTCAGACCTGGTGTCAATCAGGACCACGAGTATATCATATCATCCGTGAAATTTATGCCATTCACGCTTCAGATATTCCAGAGTAGGCCACCTGTCCGAGTAATAAATGTGGCTGTGATTGATATTTCAGTTTCGGAGGGATTTTAGATTTAAAGGTGTACTCAATTTGAGAATTATTTTATAATAACCACGCCCGTTATATCTATATGTCTATGAATAGGGCATTTATGCAATGTTGTCCATTGCTTGATTAATCATTATATTTTATATGACATAATGAAGATTTTACGTATTGCATTAGTTCCCTATTTTTCTTAGTGTTACTTATATGTTGTGTCATATATAACAACATATTCCTTGAAAATTTCAGCACAATTACTCCACGCGTTTTTACGAGAAAACTTAATATCTACAAACAGAATTTACACTTCGTTATGATTGTACGTTTTTATTATATGTATGTAGAGATAAAGATTATGTAAATGAATTTTTGTGACCAATAAGTTTAAATAAAGATTTGGATCGGTACTAATAACTCTGTACACTTTCATAAAAATATAATAGTGAATTTCCGTAGATATTTACGATGTGATGCTGTTCTGTATTGGGGTTATTTCACAGACCATTCGTTCGGCATCCTATTTCAGCTAATTGGTTGATAAGCAACCAGGGCGAGAGTGGTTATGAACAAATTTATTCGGGTCATTTAGCCTTTGACGAGAATTATTCCACGGTTATTAATTTTTCCGGAGATGTAAATATGTTTTAACCCTCACATTTAATTAATAGCTTTTCTAAAGTGTGTGACAGATTTATTTAAGATTACGATTTTTATTTATACATTTACATTTTTGGAAATCAAATTATTAACATAGAGGTTTATATTCTCGATTTCCGAAGAGTATATAACTTTTATATAGAATTTCCCTCCTGAATGGCGATACTAATACATATTTTCTATGTATACTTCCAGGTCCCCACCGTGAAATGGCGGTGGATGTTCCGGACAGCTTCATCGCGAGGAATAAAACACCCCCTCGCTACCCACCACCTCGGCCACCTCAGGTACGCCTTCGGGCAACCAGAGACGACGAACCACTTTTATTATCATCGGGTGGATCAGGCACAAGTTTCGGCAGTAAACAGAGTACTGTGCTTCAAAGCACTCTAGATATATCAGAACCCAGTTCTGAAGGTTCGGGTAGTTTCAAGAATAACAGTACCATGGAATTACTCTCATTACCTCAAAGCTCGGAAGGTTCTGGAACTAGTTTCGGGAGTAAGAAAAGCAAAGGATCTTCAGAAACAGCCAAATGTGGGGACTTGATGTCTGAGAGATCGGAATCAGTAGCATCCAATACGACGCACAACTTAAGCGACCATAAGATCCAACTTCTTATCTCTAATGGGGACGACTCTTTGCTCGATTGTAGAGAGGGAGTGACGTACTCTGCAGGATCGGACTCCGTGTTGATCCGAGAAGCTGTGTATGCATCTTATAAACTTCCTCCTGGGTTTGACACGACTCCAGTGCTTCTTGGGAGGGAGGTAGCTGTAGATGTGCCAGACACGTTTGTTCAGATAGTGAAAACAACACCGAAATATCCTGGTATCGTGGACAGAAAGAGCGTGGCGTTTCAGGTAAAGGGCACTTTAATGCTATGCATGGATGTCATGACTTGGGGGAAACAGTATCACCGTTTGATACATTCTTCGTTTTGTAATAAACGGACAGTGTACCAGGCGTTGTTATTATGTCTTTCAGGTGAATGTATCATTCTATCATTAACATATGATTCATACTTGCAAGAAGGGTTGCTTACTAATATCAGTTCTTTACCTATATATTTTATGGATATTCAGTATACATACATACATTTTAATTAACTAAAAAATAGTAATTCTGAATAACCGTAAAATTATTTTATCGCATCATTTACGATCGAAATGACCTAATTCAAATAAAAACAATGTATTCTCTTTCCATTGAATGACGTGTAGCGAAATGAGAACAATAACCTCGTGCGAGCCGATATCGTTTTAATTCATGGCGTATTATCTTATTGGCTATATCCCAAACGTACGATAATTGAATATTTTTACAAATTCAATACCAGTCTTTTTTTAATATTACGGTTCCAAAGTCTATGACTGTGGAGTCAAAGTCTATAGTATGAATTTACCTTTTACAATATCAATATTTTCCTGAAATTCCAATGACGTTATAATTTTTTCTTTTTATTTACTGCATGTTAATCTATCTCCTAAAAATTGAAACTAGGGGTGCCTTTTTAAAACTATCAGATGTCGTGAAACATCTAAATAAAATTATTAAAAGCTATTAAATACACAAATAACACATCATTTACATTTTAAAATATTTATTAAAAAAATATGCTGGATTTGGTCATTTCTTCGTTATACTTGGGCTGAAAATTCCTTATGTGTTGCAGTATAGTGGTGGCTTTGGGGGGTTGTTGGTTAACCATTATAAATTTTCTGTGCTGCCATGTATGGAAAATCGTCATATTAATTGACTATTGTTCATTATGCGTAGTCTTTCATAAAGTTTTTCAAGGCACAGATATAGTATACAAGTAGATGGTGCAAGTACTTAATTACTACATTAGGTATTACAATACCTAATTGACCATTAAAAAAATCTAAGTTGGAATATATAAGATCAGCATTGCCGGTAATATTTTAATGCTGTATTAGATTTGATGTCAGCGAATACCTTCTATAACATTCAAGCTAAATAGTTTAGTATTGAAACATTTGATTTTGTTACAAATTAAAGCACCTACTTGCAACGTCTATCTGTACATCATTTTTCATTAAAACAATATTATGTATTGTCCTTTTGTCCTATTATATTGAGTTCCCTATTGGTATGATTTATATTATGTTAAATTATATAGTAACACGTATATTAGATTAGTAGTCAATAATACAATATTTATTGTTTGTTTAAATATTTTATTAATCCTTATTATTGCTAAATCATTACAAGCAATTTACGTCCAAACTACGCAACTTAAAATCCAGAGTGAGATTTAAGACAAATTTGAAAATTTTGCTTTGGAGGCTTAGGTTTAGATTCACAAAAAGTGAAATATATCTAACCTATCCAGTCTGACTATTTTTATTACACTCAAATTACAGATACCCATTAATCTTCAGAAATGGGGAAATATAAGAACTAATACAGGCGTGACAATTTGCAATTTTCCATGTAACATCTTATGTCTCTAAAAAGACGCTATTTTACTAATTGGAAGAAGATAAAGAATATGGTAGTTTTAATTCTAATGATAAAATTTATCTTCAAGAATTACGTAAAAAACAATTATTTTCCCATGCATAATAAAAATAAAATACTCAGCACTTAGCATAGCATAGCACATATTATAAAAGTTTTACACAATCTTCATGATTAATATCATAACCGTATAGAATCACGCTCAGTAAGAAGGGCAAATCATCAAATAAGCACTTATATTATCATTATCAATCATTAATACTGTCATTATCATAAAATTCATTATTAATTACCATGCTTTACGCACCGAAGCGCTCTCCTGTCCGTGGATACCAAAATATTATTATAACGATGTTATTTTATCCATTATTGTTACGAGAAGTGTGGATCTTAAAGCTTGTGGGTTTTCTGATATCAGAATTAAAAAAATATTCTATTTGTATTTGAAAAATTCGCAACGAATAACCAATGTGTATCTATGTGTATATACATATATGTGTGTATATACATATGTGTGTGTAGGTATTTTGTAATATTAACAACATTTGCTTAAGTAAATTTCAAAATTATTTTAAATTTTTATTTAAAATACTTGCCTACAAGTCTGAATGACGACATAAATTGTTAAATACGAATGTACATTGAAATAGGTAATATATAAACTAGTTTGTTAACATCACCCAATTTCGTTATTTCCTAACATTCGCTGCGAAATTTTTTAATCATATTCTTGCTACTTGACATATGTTTCCGGGCTCTGATGGCAATATGTATGTATGTATGAATGAAATATTATTTGGCTGTTTTTGAAAATCTGCGCTTTGGAATGATCTTAATATTGGGTAATTTGGGTCGAATATATGTAAATGTCCTAGATATACAATATAGTAATCGTATATGTTTACTTAGTCATATATATTTAAATGGATATATATTTTTTCACATTATGTTGCACCTATTGTATTCTCTTCTATTTTTAAGGTGTAATTAGGTTAATTCAATATCGCATAGTGATAAGATAACCTAATGTTGCTTTGCGAAAGTAGTTCGGGTTCACTTACTTGGTATATTATAAAAAAAATCTATACTGTTCTAACTTATACACTAATATATTGGTCCTTTTAGTATAGTTGTAGTATGTAGTTTTAGAAAATACAGCATTTATTTAATTGTGTAATGAATATACTAACTAAATGTGATATATGAGGTATGTACATGTCGAAAATAATTATATAGCTTGCTCATACAGTTAGTTACACAGTTTTCCAGCAGGAATAAGCATGAATTTATTTCTGCCGCAAAGCAGTTTACAAGAGTTTTACAAGAGACTTTTTATCAGATATTATTTAGACTATTTGCTTGTTTGATATTCCAATCACTAAATATGTAACTAGACAGATTCATGCATATAATTCACACAAACACACATTCTGCTATTTAAAAACTTTTTTCTTAAAGTAGAGATTGCCTAATTAATCATTGTATTGTATAAATTAGTTATATTATATTAATATACTGATTATTTAGGAGCTTGAAATAAAAAAAAGAAACTTAGTGTACGACAAATTGCTAGCTTAGATTTGACGGTGTCGGTGGTTTAGCACACCGCCTTACTTTCGATGGTCGCGAGTTCGATTCCTCGTACGGCACAAACATTTATTTATATTCATGAGTTGTTTGTATAGTTCTGGATGTTTTCTATATATAATACGTATGTATTTACAAAAAAAAAACAAATATATATATGTATTTGTATCAGTTATCTAGTAGGTACTCATATCTTACCTGTGAATGCGATGATTATTATTATTATGATTGTATAATCAATTAGCATGTAATTTGCTCAAAATAATGATTCATAGTCACTGTGATTCATAGTCAATTACTAAAAATTTTCGGACTTATGATTTACATTTCCTATGCAATACTATTTAATATACCTCTGTATTAAAAAAAAAACTCTATTTGGGTTTATTATCGTATTGTTTCATGTTTATATTAAATGGTAGGTTTAAGAGTACTATATATTGAATTAATTATATTTGCTTTTTTATATAATTTTATTGACTAAGAAATGCAGTCGTACTATGTAGGTATATAAAATATTCTAAGATAATTGCATGAAATCACGTTTAATATTTTAAAGAAATAAAATCTATAATAACTAAGCATATATGTATATAAGTAGTTGTATTCCGTGCATAAATTATATCTTCTTATATCACGTTTTCAATTCTATGTATAACATTATTATTAATTTATTCATATTCAATTTCTTTAAACTATGCGGACCTATTTATATTGTGTATTAGTATATATGCCATTTTGTTGCATATGGATTGCATTACAAAAGTATCTCTACTAAGTAGCTATGAATAATTAAATTGATATAATGAATGCATATTATTATTTATCGATAAAATGCTTCAATAAATCAAATGTCATAGGATATTAAACAATATGAAATATATTAATTTTCTTATAATATAATCTAATAGATTATTTAATAATTAGTATCTGTCTACTTAGTAATTACTAACAATTTAATATTGGTTAATATAATGCTGTATTGTTACTAACTGTAGTCTGTTTTTTTTTATCTCTGAGACAAATTTGAAATTACCTATGTTGTCAGCTTTTTGCAATTTATTTTAAATAGGGTTGTAGCACTATCAGAGATTAATATAATATTAATTACCCACTACTTTCGGTTGTTCAGTGTGTGGGTGTTTATCTAAAATGTATTAATACAAAATAAGCAAAGTATTGTAATTATTATATATAGGGTCGTTGTATCAAAACGGCTTTTTTTGAATGACATGTATTTAATTAAAACAGACTCTTTTTATAACAAATGTATATTGTGAAAATTTCTTATAGAGCTTTGAAACTAATATTCTAAAATGAAAACTTATGATTATACAAATTAGTATTGTCAGCCTCAGTGGTCTAGCGGTTTAGCACACCGCTTTACGTACGATGGTCGAGGGTGCGATTCCTCACACGGCACAAACATTTGTATTCATGCATATGATTGTTTGTATCGGTCTGCGTGTTCTCTATGTATAATATGTATGTATTTTCGAAAATAAATTATCAGTTGTCTAGTGCGAATAACATAAGCTCTAACTAGCTTAACTTGGATCTAGTTGGCACTGTGTGAATTGTCCTGAGATTATTATTGTTATGGTATCCCACGTATAGCACTATCCCGTTAGAGCTGGTAACATTATCTGAAGATTTGACATTTAAGTTTGTCAATTTAGTCTTCGAGATCAAAAAACAGACTATAGCTGCTAATATTATGTCGTAATCATTTTCCTAATTAAGCATAACGCTCATATTAGATGTCGTTTCGCCAGTAGATATACATACTTACTTTGTGAATATAGAAGTAGTTAAAAAACATTGTTGTGTATTATATATTTAAGTAATAATACAATATTATTAGAAACCTATTTGGAAACTGAGGAGCATCTCATTTCGACTTTTTAATATCTTACGCGATATCTTCCATAATTCGAAACCGATTATGTACTTTAAAAAAGGATCAAGAACATTCTTCTTATTCGACAGTACATTCTTGACAGTACTGTTGTGGTCATTATGTAGTGGAGTGAGAGGCAGATGTCGTCCGCCTTACAGCTCGCCATTTCTCCCTACTGGCTGCCATTCTGGTACACTCGTGGTGTGGACTCGTGAATCAACGACATAATCCTGTATAAATAAGAAATTTATACAGGATTACATCTAATTATCTAATCTTTATATAAATTACATCTAATTAGACGACATAGACCTACGTACTGTAATGGAAAATTGATAAAGGTTTTCATTTTTATGTAACAGTAAATATTTTTTGCTGACTATGCAATGATTAACATTGCATAGTGGTCCACTATTAGTGGACATGAGAATATTTGTAGTTAGTATCGTTATGTTGTTATCGGATCTAATATGAACAATGAAGATATAATTTTCTGATAAACACTTAAGAAGTAATAAAGCCATGTTTTAATGTGTGTTTAGTTAATGTGACTGAATTTAATTACGCATATGATGCATTATAATTGTATGTAAATGACTAATAGTATGATTATATGATTATTGTGCTTATTATTACTGAAGACATATTTATAGATTCTGTATAAGGCGATTATTAGGCCTCCTTAGGCTACGGTAACCGTTTACTATGAGATGGCCCGTATGCCTGTTTGCCACCTACGTGATATAAATAAATCAGATACTAATTATTTTAATCGTATACTAATATTATTAAGACGGAGAAAGAATATTCGATTATAAAGAATGTAATAACCGTACTGTAGCACCTTTTAGATTATATTAGAGATTTCAGAAATTATCTTACTGTTTAAAATGTACTACAATTATCTAGTGTCATTGGCTGTCTTTAAAATTATATTAATATATAAAAACTCAAAAAGTTATTAGGCTAAAAAAATATAAATTAACTAAATTTCACAAAAAATAAATCCAAATTAGATAAAAATATATATGCTAGAACTAATATGGAAACGAAACTTATCAGTTGCCGAATTAATAATCGAAATCCTTTGATTTTTGTCGAAGATATTGCGTAACAGGTACAAAAAATATCGAATTGAGAATCTTGTCAAGTTAGTTGAAAATGTAGAAATGTATGTATGTAAATCTGACATTATTATCTTAAAATTTAGCAGGTCAACGGCACCCTGAAGTCTACAGCTCCAGCAGTGCCACCAAGGGAAGTAGCCAGGGATGCGCCACCGAGACCCGCTCACGATAATGTCACTAAGGAGCAGATGGACTCCATAAAGAAATATCAAGTAAGTGACATTAGAATTAGTTCCACTTTTGATTGAACCATTTCCGACCTGAAATCCAATGATAGTACCTGAAATCCGCTGAAAGCTACGTTGAATATTGTGACTGAATTGTCTAAATAAATAAATAATTTTTTTCTGTGAATTTATAAGAATGAATTTCATTTTTTCTTAAGGAGATTTGATCTAGTTTCATAGTGTCATTGGATTTCTGTATATTGACAACACGACCTTTTATACACGTATATAAAACTGTAGTGTCTATTATTAATTTAAGACTTATATATGGTTTCTCTGTAATTTTAATTCAAGTGTTATATAACTTTTGATGAGTTTCTTTATAGCTCTGGAAATAACTATATATAAAATTTTAGGTTATATGTGCTACGAGCACTCTGTAACGTCAAAAGCTTTAAGCTACCTTCGTTCTATAATACATCAATGATTCTAAAGTACTTCTCGGACAGCGTATTACTAAAATATACTGTAAATCACAATCCGTTTTGCAATCAAACATGAATTGAAATCATTTAGCGATTTTGAAAATAAAACTCTTAACATATATATATTCAGAAAAATTGTATCGCACCTCTCCACTGTATATTTGGCACTAGAATAATAAATTGGACAACACGCATATTGTGGTACTATACTATAAACGGAGCTTATATGGGTTTAAATCAATTGATGGATGTTTTACAGACGTTTAAATATTGTAATGTATATTACAGTATTTAAACGTCTGTTATAGGGACATATAAATACAAATGTTTACTTACGCTGGTATTGAATCTACGACTATATGACGATTGTAGTGCAGTGTGGTAAATCGATAGACCACTGTGGTTCACAATGACATTATAAACACGTAAATTCCCCGTACTCTAAGGTGGATTACTTCTATTTCATTTTCGAGATCTGCAAATAGAAAAAGAAGTTACGTTCCTATTTCCCACGAAACTTGTAGTAAAATATTAATATTACGTTATTTTCTGAACTCTACTGTTTCACTGCAAATCCATTTTCTATCAATTTTTATTCGTATAAAGTGCACTTTATGTATATGTGCGTATATTTTCGTTACCCGTGATAGATAGCTCTGCCCGGAACCCTCAGTGCAATCACTCTTGACCGGTTTTTTGCAATTGATCAATATATTATCGCATGTGCAATAAATGTAACAAAATATTACATTTATGACTGGGATACGAGTATAATAATGGGACATATGTATGTCATATGTCCGTCGTATAGGTACTGTGCTCGTACTGATCGGTACAGATTTTAGTGCGTACACAATTTACATTACAACGCGGTTTAATGTAATTCAATGAAATTGCTGGCATTTATTCTTTATTATACTTTGTTTGGGTGTTTTTATTCATAATCGTTAGTCATGTTGTGCCATTGTTAGCCACTTCCTGTCATACTTTATTTCGACAGGCGAACCTTGCGTTTTTAGTTTAGAATTTAAAGTGCGACAACTTTTTACAGTTACAGCTAATGTTTAAAAATTTTGAAAATTAAACTATTTCCGTTTTATGTAAGGCTTTTAGAGTGTACATGTTTACTCGAAGAAGACGTTACTGTCCAAGGCATTGTGTACGGGTAAGTGTAAGTCTATCAAGTCTAAATTATGTGAATTTAAGAATGTTTCAAATGCAATCGAGATAATTTTAATTAAGTCGATTTTAGCCTTAGTTACGTTTCCATAACTGTTTTATACTGCTATTTTGATTTAATTAAACTTTTTGAAGTTACTTATGTTATGAAATATAGTATATTTCATATGCAATATTATATATTTAATGTCGTCTTTCGTTTACTTGGAGGGAATTGGAAATAGTTTTAAAGATAAAACCGCTTTGTAAGTTATATGTACAATGTACCTACATATTTAATTTATTAAACCAACATATATTATCAGTTTATTCCAAGATTATTTACTATATAGTAAAAAACAAGATTCCTTCATTGAAATTAATTTAAAGTATTCAAATGAATATAAATGTATGCATGCCCATTTCCGAGATCTATGATCTATGAACTGCATTATCGATTTTGTAGAATATTCAACCCCCTACCACATTCCCTTCTTCCCATCTATAAATAACCAATCGTCATTATTGAATGATTACCCTCCCTCCCTACCACCCTACGTATAAATTTGACGTCATTTCAGTTAACTATCTAACAAAGGACTCGTGTACTGACCTACGTAATTTTTACGACATTAGAAACATGTTCTTTATATTTGCAACTACCGAGGTAGACTTATTATCTCAAACGCGAAGCCAGCTACTTTGTATGCTGTTTTGGTTGTAGGCACAGATTAGGCAATGCAATTCTAGGATAAGAGGCATGAGTCTTCTGGAATGGCAACGCGTGAGCGGTTACACGGCTGTATATGATAACGTGATATCTGTAGTGCTGTTTATATCAGGCGATGGTTACCACTTAACATCAAATGGGCTACCAGCTTAGTTGCCATTCCAATTCTATTAAATAAAAATGTATAAATAATTGTTACTCGTATTGCGAAGAAATAATTGTGATTCTTTTGTTCTTTAAAATTCGTCATACGTGGTTTAGAAGATCTAAGCGAATAAACATACAGAGGAAATGGGATAACTAAATATTTATGGATAAACGTTTTTCATTTAAGTATTAGATACATAAACGTCTGTCAGTTTCCGTATCAATCATGTCAAACATGTAAAGTGGGTGTGCTAAATATGTAAAATATTTCTAAATATATATTTATCCGAGACGTGTACGGATGACTGTCATTTTTCCGACATCCCGTCGAAATTAAGATGTTACAAAAATACATATTTTTATTTTAATAAAACTCTTACCCTTAAACCTCAATATGTAAAAGAATAAAGTTATTATGAATCGACTTTGTAAAGAAGGAAATTTTTGTATTATGTTTTCTTTTGGGTTCCACAAGAAAACGTATTGTTAGAATTTGGTATAAGATTAATACGGGACTAATAAGCCATATCGATAATCCCGCCAGCGTAGGCCATTAACACGTGGCGTGGTGTACCTACCATCTTATCGTCATTCATTACATAGAAAGAACCTACTTCTTTTTTAAGTTGGTTGATAATATAAGGCTTCATAGTGCCTAATATAATAAATGCGAAAGTAATGTAAAGTAATAAAGAGTATTTGTCTGTTTCTTGCCTTTTCACGACTAATCACTAGGACGGTAATAGACTATCTTTTATTGTTTAAAAAATAGAGGAAGTTGCGGAATATAGCTGGAATGTAATACATACTATAATTATCTGTTTTCGCACTTGTTGACCAAATGTGGATAGGTAATATTAAATCGGAGTTACGTAACATATTATTTACTCGACCCGGATATGGAACCGCGGGGTCCATCGGGGAGGTTCTTGTAGATGACATCATAGTTAAGAGTGTTCATAACAAGTATACTATCTGTCGATTTACAAAAACTATTACACAATTACAATAGTCTCTTAGTAGTTTTATTCAAAAAGTAATCTTATATTATATTATAATAAGTTGCACATAATTTTATAAAATCAATTAGACAAGTTTCAACATTTCTGACTTATATTGAATAGTAAAATTCCAAATATCAGAAGTCATTTATACTTTTACTTTCGGACTTATGCATGTCTTTTTTATCACTATCCCAATCGTCCAGTTACTAGCTTCAGTTAAGAACTAACATGAAACTCAAATGATAATTTATTTTATGTTATTCGTTTTATAATGTCTATATGTATAACATATTTAAAATATCGAAAATCTCTTGTCTGAACAACCGACGGTCGGCAAGTGTATCTCCCAAATAATCAATGACCGAGAGTAATAGGTTTCAATAAGTATTTCATGAATCAACTGCCTCGGTGGTGGCTTTACTTTGATGGTCACGGGTTCGATTCTTTTCACGAAGCAAACCTTTGTAATCATGAGTAATTGTACCGACATGCTTAGCCTGATAATTGTCCTAAGTTATTATTGTAATGTATTACACATAATTTATTAAAGCAATTGGACAAGTTTAGCTATTTGAATGATTTTACTGAAAAAGCACTCTAATATGAAAAGTGAAATAAATTACAGAATTTGTTGCATATGTAAGCCACTAAAAATTTTACAACTATGTAACCTTTTGCTTTTAACGTTTCGAAATACATTTTGCCATCGAAATCAAAAGTTAGCATTGAATGACGCATGCAGTTTGAGTTCGCAATAAGTGCATTAATACAGTAAATAATCCTAATTATAACAGAGTTTTTTTGTTGGTTTTTTACACTTTCGTGCCTTGAGCATTAAATTTTTGACAAATCGGTTTGTAGGTTATATGTTGTAAGTCTACGGCGATCTTAAATATCAACAAACAAGACTCACTTTCACATTTAATATTATACAATGAATTACACTACATTACCTAATAAATTAACTATTTGATTCATTTAAAATGTGTAAATATGCTTTACATCTCATATAGGTATTAGAAATATTAATGCTAACGTGTTTCTTATATATGAGATGTATATTTATAAAACACATGAAAATATATTTTAAAAATATTTAATCAAGTTACCAATTCATAAAACATAACGTAGAGTTAATGTTTACGAAATTAAGCAATGTATCACTTGAAGCATTTAGCTTACATTATTTATATTTCGACCCTCTGGGCACTAACCTGCTTACTCTGTGGAGTAAGTAAGCCTATTTCTTATTTAAAACAACTTGAAATCATTTTTCACTCGTAACTGTAGGTTCGTACGTCAGTTTTTGACATAGCTTATTTGTTTGTCGTCAAGATGAATGACTCTAGCGGGTTCTTTAGTACCTGCTTTTCTCTTCGAAGTGTTATTTTGTTAATACATATTTTTGTTTAGAGAATTTTTAATTAGTCACATTATTTTTGTATACAGAGTATTAACCTCTAGAATTTATAAAGTGCAATATACTGTGCTGTGTGATAGTAGCTTATCAGCAGTAGCTAT